TTTCCACCACTACAGATTGCCTCTTACCATCTTAGTACTCTATTGTCACCCCCTTCCCCCACCCGCACTAATCCCTTTCTTAAAATAGTCTTGTTCCCATTATCTAGGTACACAATACGAATTCAACAACAAAAGAACAACCTGTATTCTTCTTGAAAGCTTCATTTGACCGTCTGAAATCAAATTCACGGTCTGATTCTGGAGACTTTTAACAGTCTCAGTAAAACTGAAAGCCATAACATTATTCCCTGTTCACTTTGATGAAATTCATGGCACGGTGCTGATGTACTACGGAGACCAACATTGGAAAAGCTCTCTGGGTCAGCGTCCATGATTTTCCTCGGCAATTAATTTCCTTTATCCTGGGTTTTCCCCCTCCGGTCCAGCAACCGAGACCGAAAGCCAGAAGCAAGAAGACCTCGGCTCTAACATGGATCGATTTCACATTAGACATTAATCAGTGCTCTCGTAAAAGAAGATGATAATCGTAACTGGGATAAGGTTTATTAGCTTTGCTTTATCGTTTATTTCCGTCTGGGTGTATTGCTACAGGTGCATTGTTCTGCTTTTTGCGCTTAAATTAAAGACCATTCAAAAGTATGGCAACATGATTCGGTACATTCTATTTTCTGGGTTGCCAGTAGTTATCATAATGTAGATTTAGTCCCTGTTGCTATCCTTCAATATCGTACTGTTTGTGGACATGATTGTTACCAGACGGGCGTGTGGGGTGTAGCGGCTAGACGCTTCGCTATTATTGTAGGTTAGGCCTGGCAGGCAGGGTTGGAAGCCCGCCTCCCAAATGATCTAAAATACTACGGTGGGGATGTAAAACGCGTACATTTTTAAAAATCCTCACTAATAATAGAGATTTTATTTCCTCATTATCATGGAGTTCCATATCTGAAACAGACATCGGAGGTCATGGTTTGCCACTCATTTTACTTTTTGGGTCGTACTAAGAAAACCTTTATGGTCCTGCTCTTTCCCCTCCACAGATCTGTTAATGTTTTTTCTAAGTACTCGTCAGTTTTTCTTGGTGTACTTCTATTTTCCCTTGTGCTCTTTTTTCATTCGAGGGATACAGTTATATTCTTAAGGGAGAGGGTTGCGTGTATTTTGGGTCAATTTTAGTAGGCCTGGGTGGGGGGGGGTGGTTCGTTTGGCTTTTTTTTCGTTTCTTTGGTTTTTTCGTTACCATTTTGTATAGGTCTACTTTTCATAAATCTACTCGGTGATTTCAGGTGCATAAAACAGAGAGGGAGTGTTGAGAGGGCCTCGTTGTTTAAGTCTATATTCAAACGTGTTGATTTTAATTTAGAGTCCAATTCTCTTATATTTCACAGCGAAACTTCATATGCATCGCCTCTGCCATTGTGGTGTACCAAACAAGAGCCAAGAAGCGTCAGGTAGTAAACTTACACAGGTGTCCTTACAATAATTATGATCTGCACAACGTCGAGAAAGGACGAAAAATGTCATTATTCGATTCGATACTTCGAATTTATTGTATCCTACCCCAGCTCACAGCGGCAGGATCAATCCGCGAATGTGAAAGAATCGCTCAGCCTTAACAGCCAGACCCGCCGCCAGCAACACCATTTCCGGCTCGTTCAAGGGAAGCAATCTAAACTCCATTATTCCTTCGCCTCGGGCCCTGCCGGCAAGGGAGGGAAGGGAGTGTCGTTGTGTCTGTAGAATAGCCTCGATCCGCAGCCGGACGCAATATCACAACAGCTCCCAACGTGATTTCCAGACTTATGTAGAGCTGGAACGGTAACTTATATCACGTTTTCGTCCCCCTTCACTTTTGTGTCCTTGCCCATCGGAGCGCTGCGTGTCCGTCATAGTGACCGGTAGTTCTCTCAGAGCTAAATCTAAAACGTTAAGGCGACAGTAAATATCGTGTATTGAGACAGAATTATGCATTCTATTTCAGGGGATACGGTTTTTAGAACCAATTTTCTTTAAGATAAGGGTTCGTTGACAAAACCTAAGAGTTAAATAGACCATCCCAGCCTTTGAGGGGTAGGTGGTATCGGAGAATTCCAAGTTCGAGTCCGGAAGGAGTCGAATAGTTAATAGATTATCTATTTCCTTTTAGATTGAGTTTGAGTAAGAGGATTACATAGGTACAAGAGCGGTCATCTTGCGCTGGCAAAAGGTAAGGTAAATGTAAGACCCAAACCAAATTAGAGGGAAAGAATTGAAGTAGGACCTACTGTCTTCTCTGAAACTTACTCTCAGTCGTGCCTTCTGCATTAATCTCAAATAACCCGGTTTCGATTAAACATGCAGAGCTTATCTCCAACGAAAAGGGAGAATAAATCTATGGATAACGCTGTCTCCTCTTTAAGCAATAGGAAAGAAGAAAATTGGGTTACATGTCACTATGACAGCAGATGGAACATTCTGGTTCTGGGAGCATGCGGGTTGTGGAAGAAGCAGAGTACAGACTCTCGTCCCCGCTCCGAGGGGCTCCTGATGAGGACCCGAAAGGGGCCCTCTATTGAAGGCGCTGCTGATTAACAATTATTCGCGCCCTCTTTATTGCTTCGACGACGGAGGTACGAGCGGCGGGGGACAGGTTCTCGGGGAGTGGAAGATTGTCACGCGTCGGATTCCCACTCCGGTCGTTTCACGTCTTTGGGAGGTGACCCCGTTGGCCCTGATTCTGAGCGTCTGAGTGTAGTGGAGTGAGTGCGAGTGGGAACGATCTTCAGTCTGTCGATTTCTTTTAATCTGCCGACCCTCTGTCTTTCGAACTCTTCTCTCTCCTCCCTCTCCCTCCTCCGTCCTCTCTCTCTCTCTCCCTCTCCGTCTCCCTCTCCGTCCTCTCCCCCCCCCCCCCGTCCTTCTCTCTCCCAGTCCCAGTCTTCCCTCCCCCCCACCTCTCTAACTCGTTCGCTCTCTCCTCAGTCATACACTCTCTCGCTCCATCTCTCCGTTTCGCTCTTTTTCTCTCCCGCTCACTCACTCTCCTCTCGCCCAGGCTCTCCCCCACCGTCCCTCTCCCTCTCTCGGCTATTGGTGTTGCTTTGGTGTGAACTCAAATGAGGGATAAGAGATTTTTAGACACAATTGGTCGGTCGGCAGTAGTCATTAGAACAACTGTCGTTCGTCCGAGTGGTTGGTGTAGACGCACAGGTACACGAGGCGAGTCCGTGGTCTATAAGTATGATTGGAAGTGGCCATAGACTAGATCGGGTATTAAAATGTCAATGCACAGCACCATGCCGTTAGAGGCCGTCGGTGTTTGGACGACATGTATGAAAGGGGGCCTGCCTTATTTTAAGCCGGCCATTTACAACGCAGTCTTCCCCTTGAGGAGGGCGCCTTAGGGCCACCTTGAGAGGCTCCGCGTCCACTAAACCAGAAACGAGCCGATTTTATTTTTAAAAATTTGGTTGGGAGGAGGAAAAAAATCGGTCCGCTCGTTTCCGTCGTCCTTGTCCACAAGTTCGGAAACGACACGGCAAGTCTGTTGGCCTAGTGGGCTAGATCTACTTATTTTCCGGATATTGGGGTAGACAACCGTCGCAGCGTGCTGTGTTTATAAATAAAAAGTGACAGTTTGTATATGAAGGTACCACGGTTGAAGAGGTTTGCTTTCTTGAAAAAAAAGGGGGGGGAGGGAAAGCAGCTGAGAAAAGACATAAACATTTGACATACCCTATAATTAAATCAAGATCAACATGCAGCCATAACTTGTTTCTAGATATGCAAGATGAGAAATGTGAAAGTCCTTCGAGAATGATGCCTTCGTTGGTTTGATCGTCTTTTTAAACGAGCTGAAGTGAGTCTACGGTCACTGCCAACACTAAAGAGAGACGTACACAGACCAAGACAGAAAGGCACAGAGACCAAAAGAGAGAGAGAGAGAGAGAGAGAGAGAGAGAGAGAGAGAGAGAGAGAGAGAGAGAGAGAGAGAGAGAGAGAGAGAGAGAGATCTAAGGCCGGTCTGACATAGGACATGTAGTGAAATATGAAACAAAAACCCGGAGAAACTAGAAACATCAGGCAATCCCATAAAGGACCGGCGGGTGGCGAAATACGAAATGAGAAACACCAATTCAGAAGCAGGCCTACATGATAATTCTGTTGACAAAATGGACTCGTCAAATGAAGACACACTGATGATCATTCTACTGAGCAAGCGCATAAAAAGAAAGCGCAGCTTTATGGTCTCGAGAAAATTTACTTTTGAGACACAAGAGGAAAATACAAGAACCTTTGTACCTTAAAGGGGGGGGTGTGGATGATGGACTGGATTTGAAAAGGCACACAGAGAGGGGCACAGCGAGAGAAAAAGACGGGCCGACCGAGGGAGAAAGACAGGAGAGCGACAGGCATACCGAGAGACAAACAGGCAGACCGAGAGACCGATACAATAGAATGTGGTGCACTTGCAAAGTAAGCCAATGGTCCTTTCCAACCCGATTCGATTTTCACTGCAAGTTGGACATTTAAGACAAGAAAACGTCGCAAACGGTAAAGAACTCAAAACGCTTTCCGATTAGTTCAAACTGCTTTATTCAATATTCTATTGTAAGGTAAAACAATTCACAGACAATCAAGTTCTTTTTGTACTAAGTCTTGTACAAGTTCATGTGGTCACGCAAAAAGACCAAATGACAACCGATTTGATGCAGGGCAAAATATTCAACATATTTGCAAGGAGTAGGGAAAAATGTCATACATTGAAAACGTAAAATAGGGATCAAATTCTGAGAGGATACAAAGACCAGAGGCCCGTTATGGCAAGTGGGCCACCCATGGACGAAAACAAACTACGGTTGCAGCGTTACAATGTCTTTTAGTTGCTTAAAACTTGGCATCAAGACTTTGTCCTGCACCAACTTTTATTTGTTAATCTGATCAAACTTTTCTTCAAATGTCCCCGATGACCTGGTACATCTAGTGAGTGTACTTGATGACCGAGTGTAAACAGCCGAGACAACGTTTCTTGCCACAGCTTAAGCTCGTGGAGACAATTTTTGCAACAACAGTATACACCTGGTCTTCCAGCTCCACAGCACGGGACTCCCAGAAATTTCCTGTAACATACATTTAGGAGATGTTCATTTAGGTCTCGTCTTGGTCTCGTCTTACTTTTAAAAGTGCAGTCGAACCTGTACAAGACGAAGGTCCAGTATCGAGGAAAAAAACAGGACTATGATACACTAAACAGTGACATGGGGGGGGGGGAGCAGTCGAAGGGTTTGACATGGTCGATAGAGCGTTAAAATATAACTACCTGCCGATGTTTAAGAATGGAGTTTATAGAGCGATGTAATTTACTGGTATTGAAAAAAAAATTAAAGTAAATGAACTTGGAGTAAAAGTTCATAAATGAAAGTATTGCAACGTTAAATGGAACTATTGACCCACCTTTCTCGGTTTTAAGGGAAATACCAACTATATAATGTTGGAGGGCAGTATCAAATAGATTTTCGATTTTGATCAGAATTGCACCCCCCCCCCCTGCTAAATAGAGCCTGGGTTTCATGGAATCTTAAGGCCGATCGATTGAGTAGATGTTTTACGGCACTTACAGTTTTGGTCAAGTTGAAACACCCGATGCTACGGGGCTGTCAAACTTGATTTACCGAGATAAAAATACATGAATAGCATTTATAATTCATAGTGACCGGGAGAGAAAAGTGTCTGAAAAACACATTTAACTTACTAGTTACGTGGAAAGTGATATGTAGATATTCTGGTGGTGCCACAATAAGCCCGCCACAATAAGCCCCATTCTCCGATCTTAAACTTTTGATTGATTGGGTAGATGTTTTACGGCACCATCGACACCATTTTGGTCAGATCTTAAAACTGAATTGTAATAAACGTTTGAAACCTGTTTAGATAATTTACTAAGAGAGCTGCCTCGACCGTCAGGACCAACCCAGGCTGAAGTACCCTTGAAAAACGATGGAGACGCTCAATACAATGGCGATTTTTTTTTTTTAACTTTTATTTTATATAATAAAGTCTACAGCCGTATGCATTGCCTTCATGCCAGTATTGCTTAGCAGTCTACATTTTGGCGCTTTAGTGATCGCAGCACCAACTTTAAAAAAGTAGAACTGACATGTCCTGACTATTGCAGAGACCCTGAGCATGCCGGCGGCTCGATTTCTCCAATGTAGAGTACAACCTACCATTTCTCTTGGTGGGACAATGATAAAAATGTTTTGCAATTTGATAAAGGCCTAATTATGAATTCTGCGTCCACCACGTACGTGTTCGGTGGAAAAAAATAGTTTTGGCGTGGGTGCAGTTAATGAGCATCAAAATATTAAAGGGACCTACTTTTCAGAGTAATTACTCATGTGGAAAGAAAACGTAAAGACGAGATTCAAATTTTTAAAAGCATCGTTCTTTTAATCGTCAGTATATTTTAAAATAAGTGAATATAATAGTGAGCATTTTTTTAAACAAATGGTTAACTGAATATCACGCAGATTTACCTCTATGAACGGCGGCAGAGTTTGATTTTGCGGCACACAGATTCCGAAGGAAGACTCAGTAGCAGCTTCACATTATCTGCGTTGACAAACGTCATACACGTACGTTGCAAGAATTTGGGCAATATGTTGCACTGCTCGGACAGCTTGGACAGAATTAGGTCCTGAGGACAGTTAAATCAGTTTGTCAACAAATGTCACACAAAGATTTCTGATGGACAATACGAGAAATAAGACAAGAATTTAAGGCGATTTGCCGCAGTTGCGAGTGCTGGAAAAAAAATTAAAACTTCAAGGTTTATTTTCGGGGCCAAGACTGGAGCTTTTGTTTCTTGGGGATGCCACGGGCTCTGAATGCTTTGCCAATGGCAAAGACGCTTAATGATGTGATTTTCTTTGACTGATCAGCTGAGGATATCACCAAGTAAGGTGACCTTCCCAACGTCACCCGTCTAGGCAGGTCTCATGTCCCCTTGGGGTCTTTTTCTTTTGCCCTGGTCAGGGTTCGAAAAAACAAGAGAAAGGCATGTGCTTAAACATGTGCGAAAAAAACTTTACAAGGGGACAAACGCTTAGAACTAAGAGATTTAAAATTTCGTATTCTTGCAAAGTCCGAAGTTGAACTTGGGAAAGACCGCGAATTCGAACTTGAGAAGTTATTCAGTGGTGGTACTGCCAATGAAATTGCCATACATGCTGCACGGGGAGATACCCTTTGTAGTGTTAGAAGAAACTTACCTCAGAGATATTCCCTTCGGGATCCTGTTTGGGTAGGGTATCTATAGCAGCTTCCAGAATGCTCATGACGATCTTGCACGCTGTACACTTTGTTATTGGTATTCCTCTTTGTGCCTCCTCGGGCACTGGTCCAGGGCCTTGCTCCGCCTCCTCGGGCACTGACAAAGGTGAAAAAAAATAACCCGTGTGATACGGTAATATTAAGTTTGTTAGAGTACCGAAAGTAGTTGGCTGTTAACATGTTCAGAATCAAATCAAGCTCTATATAAACGATATATTAGAGGGCTTTAGAAGCTTCCTTCGTAAAGGGAATAATGTTAACTATGTTGACACTACAATGTAGAACTTCGATGCTGCAGTAAGTCAAGTATTCAGAATGGAAGCCTCAACTAGACCTTTTCTTAGTGCCTGTCTTTAAGCAGTTTCTGTGGCCGGAGATTAGAAGTTAATCAACATTTCATATTAAAGTGGACACGGTTCGGTAAATTGTTTTAGTTTGATAAGATTTAACGGCACTTGCGATCCAATGAGGCCATATAGATTTAAGTGCCAAAGATTAGGAGTAACAGGAAAGAAAAGAAAAAAAGGTACACTAGGCGATAGATGTTTGATGGGAAATGTGTAGCGAACCAAACCAGAGCACCCACAAGTAAATTGTGTTCGATTTCTCTTTTACCGTCTAAAAATACTGACATCATTAGGAAAATCCACATGTCGATGTATCTACATGATACAGCTTAAAAGAGTAAAATGAGAATAGAAAAAGTAGGGAAACACGGGATTGGAACTTTCTGTAATGCAAAGGTAAAGACCTACTAACCATTGAAACAGGCTAGTATCGTGTCCCAAAGGAAAAAAGGGTCAGTATCAAAGTGAAAATGTTATCGTGCAAATTTCTATACAATGAGGGCTAAAAAACATTTGCAGGTTGTTGGAGGGCGCCAAGAGTAAGTCTCCACTCTCTCCTCATCCACTCTCTCAGCTATTTGAGTACCTGGCTTATGTTTTCCCTGCACTGAATGACCGCTATTGAGACAAATGTACTTCCTCAAACAAAACAAAATTTAGTCAACAATACTCACCTTGTGCGCTAATGACCACGAGGGACATTGCAAACAGAGCGACAATCATGCAAGTTTTCATTTTGTCGGTGAGCTGAAAAATAAAATGAACGAGTGAATGGCTGGACAAATACTTACGAATATACTCTTCAAATGCATTAATAAAAATAGGGAAATTTCCTGGAGTGAGAGATGGTTGAGTACGTTGCCATGTCCAAAGAAAACATGAACTGTTTTGCGCAGAGTAAACGAGAGCTAGTGTTTTAGTGAGCGTTTAACGGTACTTACAAAACATAGGACATTTAAGTGGCGTTGTTAGTGAATATTCCTAAAAATATAAAGACGAGAAGATAGGAAAGAGGGAAGAAACAAAGTAACAGAGCTTGAAAATAATTTAGATTATCACAAACATAACTTGCCGCAGATAGCAACGCGTTTCCTGTTCCTGAAGTGGTGTGCATTGCAGACCATTAACATAAGATGAAAAGTAACAAAGTGGAAAGTAAACGAAGTGCTCACCTGGAAACGTGAAACAGGCTTTGTTGGAGTTCAAGATCTAGTGTCGACTGAGTCTGTGACACGGGATTATATACCTGTTCAACTTCGTGACGTCATTCGCCAAATTAGTGGACTGTTCACCCGAGGGCTAAAATCACGCAAAAATAAAACCTGAAGAAAATGAAAATTTCTTTTCACGGGATCCCTCTCCATCTCTCTCCAGACTTATTTTTTAAATGTATGTGATTTTTCTCCTTCCCTTTGCTTGTGCTAGTTGCAATTGTCCCGGTTGTTGGCCTGACTTTGAGGTCACCAAACTGTTTTCAAAGTGGACAGGATAACTGAAAAAAATGCCGAACTCGCCCTGGATCACCGTAATTTATTCGGTACATTACAGTTGGTTTCACGTGGACACTGTGCTTCATTGTTCTGAGTTATTTTTGAATGTATGTTTTTGTTTATGTGTTTGTTTGTTTGTTTGTTTGTTTGTTTGTTTGTTTGTTTGTTTGTTTTGTTTACTTTTGGCTTCCCTGTCTTCTGCTAGTCGTGATTGTTCTGGTAGTTGGCCTTTGGTTGAGGGTAACAGAGAATGCAGAACGCGCCCTGTATCACTATTTTGTTTGGCACAGTACACTGAATACCTCAATTAACAAAAACAACCAACCCATTGATTTTTCGATGCACGAAAGACAAAAACTACAAAAGTATAAAGACAACAAAACATGTTATACTATTATACAATTGTATTGTTCTAATTTGTGGAATCCCTGTCAGCAGGCGACCGGGGAGGAACGAAAAATCTCATTTTGGGTTCACTGTTCACTGTTGTCTGTACGCGTTAAACATTTATTGTACATAAATTAGTATTAATATGCCAATTTTTACTGAATGTTGCATGGCAATTTGTTGTCCAGCGACAAAAAAAAACAACAACAAACAAACAAACAAACAAACAAACAAACAAAGACCCCGTTCAGTAATCAAAATGTTTCTTCACTTGGGTTTTATATAAAACAGCAACTTTCGGGTATACACACAGAGTAAATACAATATGTGATTTTCAGACAGTATTCTAGCCCATAAGTTGCATATTTTGAGTTAGCGACACCACCCTTCCCCAACATTTCAGTGTCAGAATAATCCCCCCCCCCTCTTTCCCCTCCCTCTCCCCCTTCCCACCCAGACCATGTGAATCTCGAAAAAGGACTCAGCTGCCTGCTGAATCGTGTTCCGTATTCGTGCGCTGAATTGATGTGTTAATAAAAACAGATAACCTGTTAATGTTTTAGATGTATGCTGTAAATCTCCTATCATTTTTTTTACCCGCTTCGGCAGGCTTACAACTTAGGAAACATGTCAGAACCTTATTTTGCAGTTGCCTTTACTCTACGCCGGATGTTTTTTTTTAAAAAGGACCCATATAGAGGATACGTTAAACCGGGGGGACTAGGGCACCTTTTTTACCTTCTGGATTCATACTGTTAAAACTCAAGAATTTAAGTTAATACTTTTGGGTTCAAATTAGGGGGATGGTTGAATAGTGTTGATTTAGACTCCTTTGGGGGCAAATATGCCCATTTTTTTAAATATGAAGGAAAAGAGGGGTGGGGGGCGCCTTAATCAACCCGGCATGGGGTGACTCTCGTAGGGCTTTTTTTACATTGTAAACCCACATCAGGATTTTAACTCTTCGATTGTTCGTGGGTTGTTTCTGTAGACCCAGTCTGTCATTTCATTAGTTTAAAAAAACAAGAACAAAGGAAGTAACAGATGAGGTTTAAGTCGGGGGGAATGCTGTACCCATTCATTCATAGGCGTCCGGCTTATAAGGTGTTGCCAAACCTTTCTTGCAACCATACAAGTACCACCTTTGATGTGTAGGGTATGATGCCCACCCTGCTGGGACCAGACCTCATCAGCAACAAAACCTTTTCCCCTCCCCAAACTTCTCCAAACCTTTTTCAGTACGGTGATATTTATTATATCCATCTGAAGTGATGGTTTACATGTTCTGAAACAAGAACAGGATGATCATTTCCTTGTAGCTGAATTCTTTTCAGAAGCAAAGTGTTGAGTTTTACTAAGGTTTGGTTGAAGTTGTTTTTTTTAATTGGTATTTCTCGAATATGGTTATTGATTTTAGTCGTATTGACAAATGTAATGTCCCAATGGTGGAATCTTATTTAACTGAATTGAATTTTCATTGAAATTGGAGGAAATATTACCAAGTTCGTTCCTGTTCACCCTCTCCGTACGTCGTATTTTACTATTGTTTCCATACGACATGGGGAACTCTGTGCTACCACTTTCCAAAGAAGAAACTTACGCGTTAATCCGATCGATACGCTTTGCATAGCAGTCTGTCAAAATGATTTTTTTTAGAAATGCTGAAAGTTTCAGAGAGATCTTCGTACTAAGAGTATTCTAAAATGTGAAGAATACAACCCCGGGGGTACAAAATGATCCCAGGGCGTACGGATAGGGTTAAATTGTCCTTTTTTTTAAGATCCGAATTACTTGTTTGCCAATGAGCACGTAACTTTGTATGGCACTCCTGTTGGCCGGCGACCAAATTGAAATACATAAATTAATATGTATTTGAAAATAATTCTTCATTTTGACCCTATATTAAACCATCCAGCATTGAGAGCCTATAATATCAGTACTCGGGCTATAAAGGAATAGATAAACCACGCAAAAGATGGATTGAAGGAGTTAAGGAAACCCTGAGAAATTATAAGAGCGTGCAGACCTGGCCTGCGGTAGAAAACTGCATCTCCCCTCGACGCTCAACGGCAACAGAGGATGAAAAGATTTTAAGTAAAAGTATATCCTTTGAGGGTATACACAGGATCACTACAATGAATGATGTACAGTAACCTATCCTACAAGTGGCTTTTTTCAGACAGTGACAGAAACTTTCTCCCACATATCAGTTTCATCACGTCGTCCGTCCCCACCTTCACGACCGTCATGACGTCACCAAGCGCGTCTCGAAAACTATTCATACTATTTATATTTCATGGGCGTGCTTCAAAAATTGAGGTTGAAAGCGTGCCAAAACATTATTTTGCAGTGGCCTTCATTAGATCTAACGGGTTGGATTCTGTTGGTCATTTAACTTTTACATCTGCGTGCAAGAACATGTCATTGAGAAGATTAAACGAAGCGATTTCTTTTTTCCTGTTTTAACCGAGGACAGGCGAAAGTGAACAAGCTATAGTGGGCTTTTGTTGGTCGTCTAACTTTTAGACATGGGGCTCTCGTTGACTAAAGGAATGATATTTGCCTCTTATTCAATAAGGCCCAGTTTCAAAACCTGACACCGACGAGAGATTTTCTTCTCTAAAAGCTCCTCCTTTCACCTCCTTTCCTGCTCTCTAGTCATATTCTTTCATTTGCGTTCATCTCCACTTTCTGCCTCCTCCCCATTTACCCTCTCCTAGCTCTTTCTACTGTTACTCCTGGCTCCTTCTTACTGCAACCTTTCAGCCACCCCCTGATCTTAGGTTAGGTAAGATAGAATACCTAGCCTTCTCGATAAGAGGGGGGGAAATATCGGAGTGTCTGAGTGAAATGAGTGGGAGAGGAGACTATCTTCTGTCTGTCGATTTCTTTAATTCTGCCGACCCCCTGTTTTCGACCACTAACCCCCTTCTCTCTCTCTCTCTCTCTCTCTCTCTCTCTCT